AACAGCACTCACAATTACATAAGCAAACCTAAACTAATCCTGTTGCAGAGTTTCAAAAAATGAAATAAAATAAACATTGTCCTAGTTATAACTTAACTAGTTGATGGCATCAAAATTCAGAATTGGGATTCAGAAATGAACTTTTTAATTTTATTGTTGTTGTTGCTTGGTCGTTTAGTCATGTCCAACTCTTCGTGACCTCATGGACCAGAGCACGCCAGGCAATTCTGTCTTCTACTGCCTTCCGCAGTTTGGTCAAAACTCATGCTGGTAGCTTCCTGAACACTGTCCAACCATCTCATCCTCTGTTGTCCCCTTCTCCTTGTGCCCTCCATCTTTCCCAACATCAGGGTCTTTTTCAGGGAGTCTTCTCTTCTCATGAGGTGGCCAAAGTATTGGGGCCTCAGCTTCACGATCTGTCCTTCCAGTGAGCACTCAGGGCTGATTTCCTTAAGAATGGATAGGTTGGATCTACAATTTTATTGTAGTTTTATTATTATTATTACAGAGATGTCACCCTGGGCTCCTTCGGGAAGAAAGGAGGGCTATATATGTGAGAAATTGATCAATCAAAATAGATAAGCTTTCTCAGTTTGGGGAGGGTAAAGCAAAGCTCATTATGAGCTGAGCCGAAAGACCCTCTGAAATTTGGGCTTGGCTTTCGGTAACCAGCAATCTTTCATAACCAGACTTTCTGGACAGTCTTCTTTTTGACCTCATTTTGATGGTTCATAACAGGCCACCCTACCGAAGGTCACATCCACAAAAGGCACTGAAAGTGCATGGCTTCTGCTGAAGAATCCTAGGAACTGTAGTTTTTTAAGGATGCTAGGAACTGCAGCCCTTAAAGGGATAAACTACAGTTCCCTCTAGGCGGAAGCCTTTGTGGCTTAAATGTGCTTTAAGTTATGGTTGCCATATTTCAAGAAGTACAAATCCAAACACAGTTCCTCCCAAAAAAGTCCTTGAGCTTTGTTTTTGGGTGATTGGCATTGGCGGATGCCGGGGCGGTGAGTGGACTTCATAAATCATCATCTAGGAGGCAACAAGGAAGCGACCACCGCAGAGCGCTTCCGTTTCTGCCAGGGAACAGACAAAACCCCAGACATTTACTATTATGTTGAAAATTGCCCCTGGTGCCCCATGGACATATGGAGACCCCTCGGTATATATGGTTACCCTATTTTAAGTGTAAGACGTGGCAATGTGGCAGCACTTGTGCTTTGGACCTCACAGCCAATTTTGCTTAGGCACGTCAACTTGTTCTAGATGCCTGCTGATCCCCCCCCCCCATTTCAGATAAATAGTGCAGTCATCTATATTCATTTTTAAATATATACTGGTTTTCTTTGTGTTTTAATTATTATTTTACGTCTTACTATGTTTTTTTCTTTAAGAAAAAGTTGTGCGGATTTTACCTGTGTTCCATCAACAATTTTATAATTCACAACACTTAGACAGAAATTTGAATGATGAGTTTACGAATCTTTCTAAAAATTAATAATCAGATACCAGGTGATGGGAATGACCGCCTGCCTGAGCCCCTGGAGAGCTACTGCCAGTCAGAACAGAACAAGACTAGGCTACACAGATACACAAATTCTTTCCAAACCATCGCTATTTGGGGGTGGGATTCAGTCATGTGTTGGCAATTCAGGTCATGCAATTAGAGTCGATCAGGAGATCTTGCACAGCAAACCTGCTTCTCCCTAATGATCAAACTTTTAGCAATAAGTGACAGGGAAATGCATTGACAAGGGTGGAATTGGATTAGCACTTGCTTTGGTGTAGGGATGGGCAAATCTGTTCATTTAAATTTCTCTCCATTTTTCATTTTTCCACTCTTAAGTTCAGTTCTCCACATTTCCACATCCACTTGCTTTTTCTTTTTTAAGTCCTCATGAAACTTCTTCATCATCTTGGTAAAAAATCCTCCTAACATACACAGATTTGTGTGCACTTCTGGACAATGTAACATATTTGCAATATGTATTTTGTCTAACATATTATTTCCTCTAATATAATGCAGTTTTGTATGCTGCTTTTGCTAACATACACGTTTTTATAACGTACAGCTTACCTTAGCAAATGCATTTCTGCACACATTATGTGGCTGCAGAATGCCATTGCAAAATATGGAAGAGTGTGAACTGTGAAGAATGGCAGTGTTTCAGTTTACATGTTGCTTCAGGAAGCGATAATTAGATAAAGTAAAGGTGAAGGGACCCCTGACCATTAGGTCCAGTCGTGACTGACTCTGGGGTTGCGGCACCCATCTCACTTTATTGGCTGATGGAGCAGGCGTACAGCTTCCGGAACATGTGGCCAGCATGACTAAGCTGCTTTTGGCAAACCAGAGAGGCGCACGGAAACACCGTTTTTTTACCTTCCCACCGGAGTGGTACCTATTTATCTACTTTCACTTTTGGGTGTGCTTTTGAACTGCTAGCTTGCAGGAGCAGGGACCGAGCAACGGGAGCTCACCCCATTGTGGGGATTCGAACCGCCGACCTTCTGATCAGCAAGTCCTAGGCTCTGTGGTTTAACCCACAGCGCCACCTGAGTCCCTGATAATTAGATAGGTCACCTTTAAATATGAGGTTTTCCACTGCCCCATTCAGATCTAACCTCCTTATAAACAAATGAGACTGAATCAAAAAGCCAACGTTTTCTAGTCTCCCTGCAGACAAATGAGGATGAATGCTCAGTAAAAAGGTCATCTCATGTGGAAGTGCCTATAGCAGTCTGGTATAAGGCAGATTCCTAAAGGCAGAGGAGAACCCTTGCCTCCACTTCCTAGGGGTGGGTTGGCCGTGAGAGGTACAAGCTGGCATTCATTTGACTGCCTGTGCTGGCATCTAGGGACCAGCTGCACAGTGGATCACAGAGTGCCCTTTCTCTCCAGGCTGGAAAGAATCCACCTTCCAAAATAAGAACACTATTAAGGGAAAGCCTGCAATTTGGAAGGAGAGAGGTTGTCACCTGCTCAGCTTCTCTGAATGTTCTATATTAAAAAAAACCAGCCCTCAAAGATTTACGAACATTCTACTCCATAGCGCTCTGAGCTGAAAGGCTTGTGTGTCTCCCAGGTTTAAATTAAATCCAAAACTCTCCAGAACTCATTGCTACGACTGCTTTCAAAGGGAGGAGTCAAAGTGGAGTTTTGTGAAAGGGAATATGGTGGTAAATCTCTCCCCCATCCCACAAACGTGTAGTAAAGTTTTGTTGATGTGTCAAGAGTGGTGTAACAATCAATTCCTCTTCCCAGGGAACTCTGGGATATAACTCCATAGACTCAAGGAATCATAGAGTTCTAGAGTTGGAAGGGACCCAAAGCGTCATCTAGTCCAACCTTCCTAACATCACCCTGAACAAGGATTTATTGTTTGAGGGAAGCCATGACTTTTTAAAATGGCATCATAGTGCTTTAAATGCATGTGTTCAGGTTCCCTTAATTGGGCCTTCATCCTAATCAAACAGGGTTCTTCTTACTTTTTCATGCAACATTCCTTTTTCAAATGGCTGGTTATGGGAAAATGACTCATATTTAGATTCTCAATTTATGAATTGCTAATATTTGGCTTTGAGGATCAAATGTTTGCTGAAGGATGCTCTTTTTATAAACTTTGACCAGCCTGCCCACGGAGAGTCCTGAAGGAAGCCCTTTTCTGTCACAGTCAGGGAACACTTCCCTGCACCATCTTCCTGGGTTGCTGTTTATATTTCGGCTGCTGGCTCTTTGCAGGAGACCCCATTTCTAAACACTACATCCCTAAGAACGGGCATGCACAAACCTCTCTGTGAATTTCTCCTGGTGCTAATTTTAAAGTATGGATCACAGAGCAAAGCAAGGGGTGCAAAGCGAAAGCTTTGCCAGCAATTCTGCCATAGCTGAATGCTACATTCTGCAAAAAAGACCACAGAAAAACCCTTCATTTATTTACTGAAATCACATATTTTATTTTTTTAAATGTTGGCAAGCTTGCCACTTGATATAAACAAGGCAATCTATAAATCTGTTAAACTGGGAGATCCGGATATAATAAGGAGTTTGTGTTAGGACACTGCAGGTGGAAATAAACAGCCAGAGAACCTTTGCTAATCCAATGTTTTGAACTACAGTTCCAGTCAACCCCAGCCACCTGAACTAAGGTGATACATTTTTTCTGGGATAGCTTTGTTTCCTGTTGGACTACATGAAACTTTCAGATAAACCGGGGCTCTTATGATCAAAACAAGTGAAAATTCATTCCTCGCTTGACCAGACAAAGCAAAGCTGGCCACAAGTGTCAAAGACAGTGTGGCTCAGTCTTATCAATGCTACAAAACAACTAGATACTTCAGGCTCCATTAGTCCAAAACATCCTTCCTGTGCTACATGTTTCTGTATCTCTAAGAGGAGATTGCCACAGCTCACTGCCTGCCTGAATGCATGTTGTGTGTTCATTTCCTAACTGCGAGGACACCCTCCCTGGAATTTGAATCACAAGTATATATGCCCTGTTGCCCCCCAAAAGTGAATAGATAAGAATACTGTATGTCATGAAGGAGAAACTATTTTTTCAGCCTGATGGCTGGATTTCATTCTGGGCGAACTGGGGGGGGGGGGCAAATACCAGTGGTGGGTGGGGCCAGAGGCAAAATTGGGTGGAGCAACACATGGAAATGTTCCTTTTATACTGTAGGCTAGTTTCTACACACTCCCACTCCCCTCTGTACCCTGCATCCAGGCAAGCAAGGGTTGTCACTAGAATTAGAGGACATATTCCAGCATGACAAAAACTCTCAAGGAAGGCACAAAGCAGAGGCAGTGAAGAATGTGGTCTGGGGAAGAGTTCTGAGGGCAAGGCTGAGGGGTCTGGAGAACTGAATTCATTCCCCAGGCCTGGGGGCTGACACCCCTGATATATAAAAGAAGATGAGTTAATTTTGTTCTGTGTGACAATTCTGAAAAGCCTTGAAACAAACCCAACAAGACAAGATATGAAACAAACAAGCTATGTGCTAAATGGTCTCATTTAATTCTCAAGAGTTTTATTTCCACAAATGTCATAAACCAAAACAGCCGGAAAACAGTCTGTTTTGCTGTAGAGATACTTTGCTGTGGTGCTAGAGAATCAGTCTGAAATCCTAAACCCATCGAGAAGACCATGCAAAGCTAAAACAAAGTCATTTACAGTAAACTTTTTTTTTACAAAGGAAATAGTAAAAAATACATCATTTTTCATAGAAAAAAAGCAAATATACAAAAAACCAGCCCTGCAGGCCCTTGCAGCCTACAGAGAAGAGATCTATTCAGATCATGCATCCAAAATAAGCAATCATGAACCCAGGAATGGAAAGGCTATTCTTTGTTGTAGTTGTTCTATATCTGAATGCACCCACTGGTATATTTTGGATAAAACAACAATGTCTGTGTATTACACACACACCCTCCTTTGTTCAAAAGACTTTTTGGAATATTAAATCAGTTTATGGGGGACAATTCCTGGGGCAGCTATGGGGGTGGGATGTAATTCTGTTTACCCCTAATTAGCACCACTTTAGCACCACAGCTGACAAGCATTCCTTGAAGTCCAGGATCCCAAAGCTCACCAAGGCACAGACTTATCTAATCATCTGCATCATTATTTTTAAAAGCAAAGAAACAACTATTGCTTCCTGTAAAGATTCACTCTAAATAAATAGAAACTAAATGTTCAGATTATAATCTTTGGCAGAATGTGATATGGCATGAGATGAGACGCCAATATTCAGAGTGTCCTGCAATAAAATGTTGTGGCGTGGGACACTGTTCAAGATTTCTACTGCTCCATTCCATTTCCCCTCGCCCATGTTTTCTGACCCACCCGCTCCTTAGTCAGCATTCCATGGCAAATGAGCATGAGCATTGCCTCTTTTCTACTTTTTTTTTTAACCTAAAGATATGTTGAACCTATGCAGACTTTGGGGTTCCCTCCAGATCCACTGATACTTCTGTTATATATGGATGGTGCCATTTTGGTTACATAAGTGATCACATTAGTGCTCGGAATGAACTACTTCACTGAATTAATCCAGCTATCTCTGAACTACACCAGAAAGCAGTTCCTATAATTTCCAGGTGAACCAAATGTGAATTAATTTTTTCCCACATTGCACTGTGTGTGTGTGTGTTTTGTTGTTTTCTTCTATTTTATACTTCTCCAGAGCAGTTTTTAAAAATTCTGATGTCTAGAGAGATAGAGGAAAAGAATAACACCTAGGACTACATGAAGGAATTATGAATTATTATAAATATGTTAATTGAACCAGAATGGAATTTGTCCCTCTTTGCAGGGAATGAACTGGAACTGGAATGAATTCCTTAAAATAAAATTTTAAAAATTTCAAGCTTTCTATGATACTCAGAGCCTGGACATTAGAGGAACTGCTATGTCCAAATTCCCAGCAGACAGACAAAAGCACACTCTTTGGATCCCAGCTGTGGATTGGGCTGGATTTTAAAAGGTTTTAATAGGGGGGTGAGAATGATAAATGATTAAAATCCAACCCTTGAAATACCTGGGTGAATGTTACAACTCCATTCATCATGGAGACAGTTGAGATCTGCATGGGATCTAACTATATACTTACTGAATACAAGGAAACAAACCAGATCTATTAGTTCTCTAATATATATGTTGTGGTTAACCCCAACATACATAATATTTATAATAATAATAAAAATAAAATAAAGCCCCACATCTGTACAAAAACAGGGGCAAAGCAAACGCTCTGTAAGTTTCTAACAAAATAAAGATCAACTTCTAGAGATCACTGCATAATTAAGATATGACCAGCTCTGCTGAATAAAATAAATTGTAGGTAATTGTAAATAAAACAATGCTGTCTAATGTACTACCAATCGAAATGTGCCTGGACAGGAGTTCTAGTTCCTTGATTTATTTTTAACACCCCTAGCCTTCCTAACTTCCTGCAATTGTTTGGCCAGCAAACCCAGCTATTCCACATTTTTTCCCTTTGTTTGAGAGAAATTCCCGGTTTATGGAGATGGTGCTCTCTTGAAAGGCAGCTTTGTTTTTCCGACAGCTAGGTGTGTCTTTTGAACTATCCACAGAACAGTCTACCACATGTTGTTTCAGCACAGCACTTAATGGACCTGTTGTTAACCCAAGAAAAGAATCCAAAGAGACTTGGATTCTCTCTCTCTGTCTCCTGCACTCCAACACACCCAATCACACACACAAACTATCACACACATAGCAAGGCCTCCATAGTTATTCAAGCTAACATTCACCCTTAAGCGGTAGGTTCATTCCATGAAGTGCAAAACTCTTGTCTTTGAGCAATATAAGCTGTGCACCAGAAAATAAGGTGTTGAACACTCCGCTCTCAAAATCTGACCCTAAATGTTTGAAAGTAATATTAATAATAATAAAACACTGAGCTGACACCAATGGGATGTGGATAGTTAAGTCAGAATGTGATTCCGGCAGCAGTCTTTGTCATCCCTGAAAGAGTTTTGACCAAGAGGACTTCGTCGCACTGCATGCCAGGACCGACCGCCATCATGTGTGGACTTCCCATCACCTAGGAATAGCGCCTCCTCCTCCTCCCAACAGACGGGGTTCTGCTTCTTGGAAATTTATTGCTTCACAGCAAAGATTCGGAAGGCATTTCCTTCTGTCTGTGTCTTTAAGCTGGAAACACAGAAATAAGACAAAGGGAAGGCATAAGCAGTTTTTCCATTACAGGAGTGGGGGGAAGCCACTACATATTCTTTTGATTGTTTTAAATAGTTGGAAAATTGCATAAAGTGATAAATAGGTCTGACCCTGTCATATTTTCTTCATAGGAAGCCTCCTGGGGACCATATCTCCAGTTTATCTGGTCTTCTGAACAGCTTCTAAGTAGGGATATTCTGGTCTTATCTATGATGACCAAGAATCCATTTATCCTCCACACTTTTGTCCAGTCCTCCCCCCCCCCCCATCTCACAGCCAATAGGAAATTCTTTATATGGATTCCCCCACCCTGAAAAGACTGGGGGGGGGAGTCTCAGGCAACTCTCCAATGGCTACAAGAGAGGAGATAAGATTCAAAGTAAACCCAGCAGGCCCCATCTTAAAAGCTTGGCTCTTTGGGTTGGCAGTGGGGCATAGCAGTCAATGTTTCTTTGCTAATTCCTCTGTTCAAACTTATTTAAAGGCAATGGGGATTTTATTCAATGTTTGAAACCCTGAAACCAATTTCAGAATTGAGATGGTGGCTGGCTGATGCACACAAATTTGTTATTTACAGTGGACGCTCAGGTTGCAAACGTGATCTGTGCAGGAGGCACATTCATAACCTGCAGCATTTGCAACCCACAGCGCCACATCTGCGCACGCACAGGTCGCAATTCGGCACTTCTGCACATGCGCAAGCACCAAAACCCAGAAGTAACCAGTTCCGGTACTTCCGGGTTTCGGCGAGTCCGGAACCCGAAAATGCGCAACCTGAAGAGTCTGTAACCCGAGGTATGACTGTATAGGGTTGCTTGCTTTACTAGGTGGGCTACTTTCTCCCATTCTTCCTCACCATGCTCAGAGTATTCAAAAGTTGCCTTGCTGACTCGCCCTCCCTTTTTGCTTCCATCAAAGGGAGAAAAAAGCAACAGTCTTGGAACCAGTCACAACCCTGAGAGTTTTGGCTTTTACAGAAGTCCCAGTGTGAGCTATCTTGGGATATTCCCAAAAGCCTTTTCCTCCTGAGGGAGCAACATAGTGAAGCTTACGCAGGACTGAGAAGAACAGGGAGGGAGCTATCCAAGATGTACTTTCCCAGAAACCCCCATGGGATCTAAGGCAAGATTGATGAGGCACCATGCCTGACTGTTTGATGTCATCTGAGATCTAGGGGCCTCCCCACAAACTAACTCATAGAGGTGTGCTTAGCATCCTACAGGGTCAGTGTAAAAAAAAACAATTAGAAAAACCTGTCAGTGTTTTACTGCCTTGTTATATGCTTTCTAGAAGCGAGGTTCTACTAATGGGGAGAAGGGACATCACTTGCATTCCTTTGAACAAGGATGGGGAACTTGTGGCTCTTCAAATAACATTGGACTACAACACCCATCATCCTTGACTATTGGCTGCACTGGCTTAGGCTGATGGGAGTAGAGTCCAACAACATAAGAACATACGAAGTCAGACCATTGGTCCATCCAGCTCAGTGTTGTCCATACTGACTGGCAGCTGCTTTCAAGGATTTTGGGCACACAATCATAGCTGAAGATGCTGTGGATTGAACCTGGGACCTTCTGCTTGCAAAGAAGATGCTCTCCCCAAACATCTGAGGATCACCAGGGACAGGCCATAGCTCAGTGGTAAAGGCCATGTTTTGCATGCAAAAGGTTCCAGGTTCAATCCCTGCTGTTTCCAGGTAAGTCTAGGAAAGAATCCCACTGGAAATCCTGGAGAAACACAGCCAGTATGACTAGATAATACTGAGCCGGATGCTCAGAGCATGAGGCAGCTTCCTATGATTCCTATCCATGCCAAAGGACCATCACTATTGTAAAAAGAAATATCAGAACAAGGTGATGAATCACTCTAAATTTCTGTAAATACTTGCTCTTACTAGTTCTCTTCTCAGACAAAGCAGAAACATGGAACATGTCTGAACACCACCTTTCTTTATCCCCCTTGATCACTCTCAAGAACAATACTGCGAATCAATTCCTTACTGAATACTTTGTCGTACAGCCAATCACTGATTTATGGAATTTGTTGTCAGAGGATGTGGTGCTTCTCAGTAAATCAGATGTGGAGGAAAGGACAGGCTCATAGAGGAAAAGTCTTGCCAGTGACTATCAGTCTGGATAGCTCAGATGGTAGCATGGTACTGATAATGCCAAGATGTTCTGTACGGAACAGCTGCATGTTCCTGCAATGCATAGGGTTTGGACTAGATGGTCCTCAGGGTCCAACTCATAATCTATCAGTCTATGATCTACTCGCCATGGTGGCCATATGGAGTTCACATGCTCACATGCTATCTCTCTCTATGTGTGTGAGTAGCAATTGTGTGGAACAAATGTGAGAATTGCTATTGTTTCCTGTTTGTGGATGTCCTGTAGGCATCTGACTGGCCACTGTAGGATGCTGGGTTGGATGGACCTGTGCTCTGATCCAGCAGGGCTTTTCTTCAGTTCTTAGGTTGCAGTACAAGGAAGACAACAGAAGAACCATTTCAGAAAAAGCCCAGTCAGGAGAGGGGTGACTGCCATACCTTGCAGATTGGATCCCATTCTTTGAAGAGCCACTGTAGGATTTCTTCTTCTCCACAGGCATCACGTCCACGTACCCGCCAGCGTTGTCCCCAATGACCCCTGCATGCACAGCAGCCTTGCAGATACTGGAATTCTGAAAGGTCATAGAACAACCACAGTTACTTACAAAGGGGCCCAGAGGCTCAGAGACATCGCATGGAACTCAACCCATGTTGCATACTAGCTGGGACATTATTCACACAAACACAGTTCCAGGTTATCATTTTGTTATCGCTTGGCCTGTGCCAGGGCTGAGGGCACAGGGCATTCAACACCAGCCCCAGCACTCAGCATCCTGGTCCAAAATAAATCCTCTATTCCCTCATCGTCAACTGTGACAGCAATGTCCACCCCAGCATCTTTCAAAAAGCAGCATTAATTTTTTAAAAAATAAAATAAAATACAGGCCCATGTATACCTTTATACCAGATCACATTAAAGTTTACCAAAATGTCAAGCCTAACTTGAGAGAATCTCAACAACCATTGACAGATCCCTGCATCTTAAAAGCTATTTGGGAAAGAGGGAAATAGCACGGAACACCGAAGCTGTAGGGGAAGCCAGTCTTTGGATTCAAGAGGATTTGTGGATAGGCAGCTACAGAGGAAGAAAGAGCTAAAGCGCGCACGCACACACACACACACACACACACATACACACGTTGGAGATCATGGTCTCCCCTCCTTCTCTCCCACCCAAGCCATAAAAGGCAGGTTCTCTTTCATCCCTTTTAACATTTATCACTGCCTCTGTGCTGGCAGCTCTGCCCATTCCGACTGCCAGCTTGATTTGGGGGCTTCTATATATGGTCAAGGAGAGTGGAGGAACACAGCTAAAGCAGATATGCTTTGAATTTGCCTGAGTATGCAGCCACAAAGCATCTAAATCTGGGACATTAAAAAATATATATCACCCTGTCCTCAAGAAAGTCACACAGGCCATTATTCTGCAGCTATGCACTACGGAAGCCTCCCTTTCCAATAGTTCTTTCCAAAGCCTTCATTTCCGGGCTGTTCTGCCTTCCAAAATTCACCTCCAGTGCGGTCAAGGCACACCCCTTCCACCCCCTTACCCCCTGGTGTTGCCTTTCGCTTGCTCCCAGCAAGAGTTTCTTATCTTCACTACCAAGTTGCAAAATTATTTAAAGAGGATAAGCCCCAGCACAGGAAGGAATCTCCTCCCTTCCTTAACAAACAGCAATTATAATATAAAACGATGGCCAAGCAGCCTCAATTTCTCTATCCCTAGCCTGGAATGCATCCGCACCATGCATTTGATAATTTTCAAAAGCAGCTTCTTTACTTATAAATTGATGGAGAATGGGGGGGGGGATGAGAATTTTTTGGCACAGTGCTGTGGGAGGAACAAAAACCCATATCAGCAAAATCACTTAACCAACAGAAATGGAGGCAAGAGAGAAAAGAAATCCTGATAACACTTTACTGAGCTTACTGAACAAAAGCTGCATGTAAGTTCACTAGAAAAGAACAGAGAGATTTTGACTTTCTTTGTTCTAGCCTTGTACATAGCAGGGAGACATACCATCAAGCATACAGCCTGTTAATTCTAATTTTGCATGCAATTTTTATGCAAATATGTCTCTTTTTTAATCTTATTTGGGAGGGGTTGCATTTTCTCTTTGTTGGCAATACGAACGGCACGCCCCCCCCCCAACTGCTGTCCTCTGTGTTGCATTTTACTATTATTTAAAGTCACTATCAAGTTTATGAGTGAATAATAGAATATAAATCTGCTCCTGTCCCCATGCTTCCCCCAAAGTTATTAATTTCAGCAACCTGCTTGTTCAGTGGAGTGGGGAGCCTTGACATTGTCACTATTGCCAAACAACCGGGAATCAGAAACCCTTGCTGCAAATCAGATCCCACTCTACATTCTGCCGACCCTTGGCTGTTGTAAGCTGATATTTCAATATGGTTTTTTTCTTTTTCTTCCCCTTGGTCTGTTTTAGAAACAGCTGAGCACCATCCCTTGCTCTCTGCAGGGTGGCAGAATGGCATTCTAACTCGGGAAACCACCTTTATGCAGGGTTTTGATGGGCCATCTGGCTTTGATGATAAGCTTTCACTACTTTCAACTGTTTGCTTCCTCAGTTCATCCAAGCCTGGAGTGCGCCTCCGGCACATTTGTGGTCTCATTATTTTGCCACTGATTACAAGCACTCTGGCTCCTTGAGCTCTCAAGAGCGTTTCCAGAGCTACCATGACCTCTTTCCCTGCAAACATACCTTTCCCAAGGCTTCAGTCCTGAGCCAGCTAAAATAGTATGCTGGTTTCTATGGGGAAAAAGTGAGCTTGTCTTTCTTTTTCTTTTTTTCATTCAAGTCACACAGGCCAGAATTAAGTGTTCTTTATCCCCATGGAGGAAAGCACACCAAACTGGTCTCAGGGGGAGGGGGAACCAAAAAAGCTTCAGGCTTTATGGGGCTGCAGAGGGGAAAGATGCCTCGAGTCCAAGGTCCTCCGCAAAGACTGGTTCCTACTTCCCTATAGCCCTGTGCCGTGATCAGAGTTCATTTTGGATACACATGTACTCGAGCAAATGAGCTAAATTAGGGGTTGGCAAGATTTACCAGCCAGCCATGGGCCGGATCATTCCCACGGAGAACATCCGTGGGCCAGACTGGCGCAGCACGATGCTGGAAATCACGTCTGCGCATGCCCACAGCACCGGAAATTGCTTCTGCGCATGCCCAGATGCTGAAAATCGCATCTGCGCAGAAGTGATTGTCAGCGTCTGGACATGCACATAAGCGATTTCTGGTATCTGTGCGTGCACAGATGCTATTTCTGGTGCCACTCGGTGAGTCCCTGCACCGCACCGTGCCGCTTTAGCACAGTGCACGGGGGACTTGCCGAGCAGGCGGCTCAGTTTGCGGGCAGCACATGGGCCGGTAAAATGGTCTTCGTGGGAGGCATCTGGCCCATGAGCCGCACATTGATGACCCCTGAGCTAAATGGTGTGTAAAGGGCAAAATTTAAAGCCCAATATGGAAATCTGCTTGGTCTCCATTTTGCAAAAAGTCACCTGCCATATAAAGAACAGGGACCAGTTCACACACGGTCTCTGCACTTGATCACTGCATGCTTCCAAACAGAAGTAATATAGTGTAGTCAATGTGGTGCCCTCCAGGTGTTGCTGGACTACAAATCCCATCACCTTTGACCCAAGGCTGTGCTGGCAGGGGCTGTTGGGAGTCCAAAAACAGTGGGAGAGTGCCAGGTTAACTACTCATGTGGTGGAAATAGCAGTAGTAATAATGAGAGGGAGTTTTGTCTATGATGCCACCCAGCCTGTGGAATGGTCTCCCCTCTGAGATACAGAAGGCATCAACTCATACCCTCCAACATTTTCATCCCCCAAAATCACTGGACCTTCAGCACTTTGGCCCGTCCTTGCTGACTCACGCCAGAGTAAGCGTCTTTTGCTCCTGTAGTCTGACACGAGAACTCGCACCAGAGTACTGGACCAAAAACTGGGACATTCCAGGATGCAAACAGAAGTTGGGGTTGGCTTCTGTGATTTGGGGATGTTCCGAGAGAGAGAGCGAGAGAGAGCGAGAGAGAGAGAGAGAGAGAGAGAGAGAGAGGTCAACTCAACCACTTGAGTGCCAATCTTTATGTGTTGGAAGTGCAATGGAAATCCCAGAGCCAATCCTCCCATAAGGCAGAATGAGACCATGACCAAACTGTGCAATCATCAGTTCATCCTGTAGGCATCAAGTGATAACTATGCACACTGGCACATATTTCTTTAGCACAAACCTTCCCTGACCAGCCATCCATCCCCTCCTTCTATCTTATATCCAATTTAGTCCACTACTCATAACTGCCAAAGCCAAGGCAGTTGAGCAATCATATTTGGGTGGGAAGCCACGCGTCCATTCGACCCACTGCTGAAGATCTGGCAGAAGAGTGCTAACTTAGGATCTAAAGAGGAGTTTAAAAGAAACCAGTTCATACAAAGAAATAGATCTTATGCTAAGGCCACACAGTGTCCAAAATGAGCTTTATCCCTTGCAGGGAAACAACTGTAAGGTTTTTCTCCTTTTTTAAAACGCAATTCAAGAAGCTCTACAGTAGGAACAAAATCATCAAAAAATTTGGACCATTCTAGCTGTGCAGTAGTAACTTTATTCCACTGCCAACCCACACGTTGATTAAACACTGTCAGGCTCTGTTGCCAGCCAACAATTTTGGAGAGCAAAGATTTGGTCTCCAAACAAGATGGATGTTGTTCTTGAACACATCCCTAATTCAACAGGGAATAAATGTTTTTGGCTCCATCTGCTGAGCCCTAAGAACTCCTGGTGTGTTAAGCCTCTGTGCTATAGACATGCAGAGGATGTTCACCTTCTGGTATAGAGTATCTCATGGTTTTTCTATCTGCTCAAGGAATCATAAGAATTACAGGCCTGCTCTGTAATGTCCCTATGCCAACCTTCACCAAATGAATGGCCTCTGGGTGCTTTGAACTACAACTCCTCTCAGGCCCAGTCAGCATGACCATTGGTTCCAGCTCAATGCTGTTAGAATACAGAGGACACCACTTGCTCAATAAATCCTGGGAACTGTAGGCTTCCCAAAGTGCTGAGAATTCTCTTCTGGCAATCCTCTGGCTGCCAGTGAACTACAAATTCTGTCACTTGCCTATAAAATATGAGTCTGCCTCCACCTTACATTTATCACATGGAAAGCAGGTTTGCAGCCACATCTTAGCTCAATGTGTTAAAACACCCTTATGCATTTATTTATCGGTAAACCACTTTGAGATTGTTTGGGTAATAAATGGAAGGAATAAACCTCATCCAGCTTTATCTGCCTCTCTTCAGGAAAGCCTTCAGATTTCTCAGTGACACAGCCTGGCTTGCACTCTGGATGTGATATTCAGCCCTTGTAAGAGGGGTTAACTTGCACGATCGGTGGAAGGCGCCCTGTCATTCATAAAACTACAGAAGCCAAAAATGCCACAACAGCTCCACTGTTTATGTACAACCCATTTTGCCAAGCAGGATGAAAAGAAGGTTACTTACATCTGCGTAAATGTTGGTGCCATACACAGGTGCCCAGTAGGATGGCTCATCTTTGCAGTAAGCTGGGCAGTAAGACCTGAAAGGCAATGCATTGAAATGAGCATCTTGCACCACGGACAGCCAATGAGTTTTTGGACTCCACCTAGGAGGTTTTTGGACTCCACCTCCGGTGAGCCACAGACAGCCTGGCCAATGGTCAGGGATGATGAGAGAGTTGTGGCCCAGCAATATCTGGAGGGCACTGTATGAGAATAGCTGTTTCCCTACAGAGCCACCTTCACTACCCCTTATGTTACAACAATGAGCTTTTAGGCAGGAAGCTCCGGATTCTGTCTCCCACCACCCTACAAAATTTGCCTGGCACATATATATATATTTGAACAGCCTTGCTGGATCAAACCAAGAGTCATTGTCAGCTGGTGAAGGAATTTGCTCCTGGGAGTCACCAGCTACTGTTTTTGCAGTTACTGGGCCGGATGGGGAAGAGAAATCCTTACCACTGACTGGTGAGAGGCAACAGGGAGGCAGGATTGGCTCAGTCAGCACCTGCCAAGCTCTGTGGCTATTGACCGGCTAGCAGCTTCAGAAGATATTACCACATTGGGAGCTGCTAGTCAGTCAGGAACTGAATGAAAAGCCCCTGTTACTCACTTACCTCCCAGTGAGGGAGCTGTTTCTCCTCTCTGTGGTGCTGATTGTCCCCACCAGAGAACCATCCCACCAGCTACTGCTGTTTGCTGTGGATTTTCCCAGCCTTCTCTCTGCTTTCACCAGTCTTGCTTTTGACTTCCAAGCTAACAGGCTTATACCATTGTTTAAAACATCCTATGAGTGGCTTTTCATTTTTATGATTGCATCATAGTGCTTTTAATGTTTCTGCATTGCTGAACACCACCCTGATGTATTGCAAGAGTGCAGCATATAAATACTTTATATGAGTAAAATAAACAAATGAATTTCCCTTTCATTGCAATGGGGACTCATGCAGGGGGAAGTCCTGGGCCACTCATACCCACCAAGGATAACTCCAGCATTTACCTTGGGCAATGAGTGGCTGGCTTCTTGAACTGGCAAAGCTCCGCTACTGTGGTGTAACAATCCAGAGTCTGCACTGTGGAAATGAACACAAGGTCAAGTTGTGAGGTCCATGGGATGGAAGGAAGCACTTGAAACAGACTCCCCATGCACACACCACCCATTGCCTATTAAGAGGGCCAGTTCCAGGGGTGAGAAGTCCTTGGGCAAAGGCTCCTCTGGTGCTGCTGCAGCGGGATCAAGCAGAGAGAGGAAATATGCATCCTGAGTAGGAGCTCCTGAGTGGCTCAGTCATCCCCTTGAAAGCCTTGCAGCTGCTGATTGGAAAGCAGCCTCTGTTGATGTCAGGAACTGCTAGCCCAGGCATAGGCAAACTCCAGCTCTCCAGATGTTTGGGACTACAATTCCCATCATCCCTGACCACTGGTCCTGTTAGCTAGGGATGATGGGAATTGTAGTCCCAAACATCTGGGGGGGCTGGAGTTTGCCTATGCCTGTGCTAACCAGTCAGTGATAAATGAAACACCCCATGCCATCCCTGGATCACTAGTAAGGGAGGACCATTAAGCATCCTCTGGTGGACCCCTTCTGTCAGCTAACCTGTCTTGGCTGCTGTGAACCAGCCAGGTCCAGTCACCCTTTACAGTTCCCTTGGTGACTCCAGAGTGACACAAACTCCAAGGGCATGGTGGGAAATTTAAAAGGGAGGCTAAATCCAGATATCTGATACTGTTGAGGATCAGAAGCAAAGAAAAATTCAGGGGCCATCCAGGGAGGACAGCTGGTGCTTTAACGGGCATTAGGGTCCTGGAAGCAGCTGGAAGGCAGGAAGGCAGAGTGCCGAAAGATGCCAGCCCTGCACATCCAAATGTCTTCTCTTCAAACAGTTTTACACAAAGGAGACATTTTTGAGAGTCTTTATCTTGGAGATCGGCTAAACTGCAAAAAGATTCCTTCATTTAAAAGGAGGGAAGGAATCCAAGGTTTTTTCTTTTTTTTAAGTGGCCTCATTCTTCCTTGTAAGTGTCCTGTCCGGTCTGCACTCTGTTCCTGGCAGATTATAAGTCGCATCCTAACTTTAAAAGGCTTTTGATGGCATTGCTTTTGAAAGTCCCTCTCCCCCCCCCCTTTCCGTCTCTAACTTTCTAATGCCTTTGTTCAGGCGAACAGGGGTCTGGCACACACACACAAAAAGCTGTGTTTAGCCTGGATCAGAACTGTAACTGGATGGAAAATGGGTCTGTTTCAGGACAATGCCAGAGTTAGCTTTTGAGTGTTTGTGTGTGTTCTTTTTTTCTTGGAGCTTTCATGCTTTGCTCTTGTCATAATTATGAATATTGTTTTTACAGGCACATGAAAGAGACACACATCTTGATGGCTGGGGTGGCAGGGGGAGCCAAGAGGAAGAGATTGTTTCAGTTCAAAGTAAATTGCAGGACACATTTTGGACCAACCTAATCAAAACTGGGATTTTGAAAGCAGCTCCTTTGCTGTTTCTTGTCACAGATTGACAATGCAACTAGCAATGTTCGTTAGTATTATTATTTTCATTATTATTTCACCTAGATAACAATTTTTACTTGTAATGTTCTTCACCATGTTTTCTGTAACTCTTTGCAACACCTCTGCAAAGTAGGTCACTCCTAATCTCATTTTAGAGATGAGTAACAGCCAGATGCCATCAGAAGATTATTATAATGGAAGAGATTGTGGCTACTTTCACAGCAGTCATTTAAAGGACTATGATAGTACAGCCATGGCTTCCCCCAAAGAACTCTGGGAGCTGTAGTTTGTGAAGGGTGCTGCGAGTTAATAGAAACACCCCTGGCCCCCACACTGTGCTGCAATTCACAGAAGGGTTTAACTAGGGTTGCCATACATCTGGAATTTCCCGGACGTAGCCGGAATATGGCAATAGGAAACAGTGTCTGGGCTCAACAACCTTTGTGTCTGGATTTCCTCTTTTAGAAATATGGCAATCCAAGTTTAACAGTAGTTTCCTCTTCACAGAGAACTCTGGGGACTACAACCCTGTGAGGGAATTATCATCCACCAAGTGGCATTCTTGAGTGGAGCTTTGAAATGGGTTCAGCAACACTTGACAATAAGTTGATTGTTGGATCAAGAGAAGCTGTCTTTCGAGTGCTGTTTTACAGAGTGGCTTTGCCAAGCCCTCTGCAAGATCCCCTGTTCTGTCCCCACAAGTCCACGTGTCAAACCTGGCCCACAAGAGGTGGGGGAGAGAGCAGCCTGACCTGTCTGCCAGATCCCATACCCCACATCCTTGATGTAAACCAAAGGCCAGTTCTAGTATAATGTACAGTTCTAGGAAGCTTTTCCATGCCTAACAAACCCCTGAATGGCATGGTATCTTACCAGCTATTATAGGCTCCCTATAAAGAAAACGTACCTGTGACTTTCGAAACAATGAAGGAATTAGAAGGTTTGAATTTGCTGTGAAATGCAAAAGACAGAAAACAAAAAGTATTAACTGGCTGTTTCTAACTAAAAGATATGCACTGAATAAATCAAATCTCCATGCACCATTATAGGAGGCCCTGCATCTGTTAGATATCGGAAGTAGGCAGGATAAAAGAGTAAGCATGCATAAATTCCAGATTTTGTAACTGTTAAACAAGTCCTTGCTGCTGGGCATATCACAAGTTGACCTACAGCCACTAGCGGAGTGTGTGTTTGTCTATTTAATGCCATGAAAATACTCAACAGCATTTATTCATTTTTCTGAATTATACTGCAGTTAAAGGCAGAAGAGTAAACAGGCCATTTTTCTGTGATCATTTGGCCACCCCTAAAGGAGTCTGAAGTTTGAAACTTCAGGTTTCTCAGATTAATAATAGTATGTCAGGAACTCCATTTCATAGGTGGAGAAGGGACCAATCAGAAGATAATGGAAGTCACACACATAGCCATGACTCAGCATTTCCTTAAAGCGCATCACTGCTGAAGCTGGAGTTAGACTTTCTCTTCTGCAGATCCTGATTTATCCCCTCTCTCTTAATACTGGAACTCGAAATCTTCCTGTGAAACTGAATGACAGGACATTCTGGATGGGCAGATGAAAGTACAGTGGCACCTCAGGTTACAGACGCTTCAGGTTACAGACTCTGCTAACCCAGAAATAGTATACCTCGGGTTAAGAACTTTGCTTAAGGATGAGAACAGAAATTGTGCGGTGGCGGTGGCGCGGCAGCAGTGGGAGGCCCCATTAGCTAAAGTGGTACCTCAGGTTAAGAACGGTTTCAGGTTAAGAACGAACCTCCGGAACGAATTAAGTACGTAACCAGAGGTACCACTGTAGTTTTTTGCAGAAAACACAATGGAATTCACCCCCAATTGCTTAGATACTTTAAAGGGGGGGGGATAAACAAATTCACAGAAGATAAGGCTATGAGCCATTAGATCTAAGCAGAACCTCCACATTCAGTGGCAATATACCTCCAAATATTTGCCCATGGGCAACAGAATAAAGGGAAGGCTACTTCTTTCAAGCCCTATTTGCAGGCTTCCCAGAGTCTTCTGGCTGGCCATTGTAAGGAAACACTATCCTGGGCTAGATCTGGCTAGATCAATCTTGTGATGTCCATATGCCCTTGACTACAGAGCCTTCCAGGCAGCTCAGTAAATGTAGAAACCAACTGGTGAGTGCATCAGGCCCAAGTAAAAATCTGATCCCACCAAAACCATCACCCAGAATATTTACTGCTCAGATTTCCCCCCGTGGTAAATTACCTTGATGATTGGATGCCATTTCTTGAAGACTTCACAAAGAAATCTGCTCTGCCTTTCCTGGTGATGTCTACCATGCCTCCTCTGTTATCCAGCACCCCAGAATGGATGGCAGCCCGACATATACTGGATGACTGCAAGGAACATTATTTTTACAGAAGACAGTTAATAGAGTTTATTTGTAAGACTCTTCCTAGCTGATAAATAGCTTGCATTTTTGGTAGCAGTCTCTCATTAATCCAGAGCAGGGGTCATCAATGCGGTGCCCCTGGGTGCCACAGTGCCCTCCAGTACCCCCCTATGGCACCTGGAAAAGGCCTCAATAAATATTCTCCCCCCAAAAAATCTGTAATGTATGGGAGACTGTTTGCTCTTCCTGCTCAGTTTCTGTTTGTTCTGGCTCAGCTTCTCCCACATTGAATACATCCCCTTAAACATGCCCATGTGCCATCAGATTCCAGAACACCCTCCCTCCCTTTAGTTCTGAACAGAGGAGAGGCTGAAAGAGTTTCTCTCTATGAGTGAGTATAGTGGTGATTAATGAAGATGGTTTTTTTTCCAATGATTGCATCAATTTGTGGCCCTCTTTTTCTGCTCTTTTAGATCTGAAAGCCATTTTGTGTTGTGTCATGTCCCTATGGCAGCAATCTTGTAACTGATGCCCACAGGGCTGTCTCAAAATCCTGAATTGATCTAGTGGCACTTGCCATTCATAGCCTACAAGCCACAATTAATATGGAGCATAGCTGACAACATTGATTTTCAAAATACTAACACACACACACACAGAGATTGGAACAAGTACAAGGGAAACCTGGACTTCAAGGGGTGGAATGTAAAATTTGTTGATTTTATTTGCTGATCACTAAATGAATGCTACTGTTTCTGTGCTTTGGTTTTATTGTAGATCTTTTAATTTTAGTTTTATTATTACAATAATAGTCTTTAAATTGTACATTGCCCTGGAAGTTTATGTTGAAGGGTGTGGCTCATACATTTCGTATATAAAATGCTTGCCGTTATTAGAGACAGAGCCAAGAGGAATGTGACCTATCAGGAGTAAGCTAGAGCAGTATCTGTCTGGATGGAGCCAAGGTAAGGCCTAGCTAGTGATGCATGATGTCTAGCAGAATTTCGAGCTCCAATAGAATCTGGAGCTTCTTCATTCTGCAGACATCCCAGTTTTGGAGGCCAGACATCATGCATTTATTTATTTTTTATGGGAGTGGCCCTATTGAACTGAAAGCCACCTACACAGAACACAAGGCTGTGATTGTGTGCTTGGCTTTTATCCAGGGTGAGTATGCCTGGTGGTTCTATCATCACGCAGGTCACTAAGGCACATCATTATCCTCCATTTCTTGGGACTTGCAAATATCTCTCTGTTTATTACTTTATTACTTACGCTTTCATAGGTGAAGGTTCCGAACACTTTTGCGTTATTGTTCAAGCAGCCAGCAGGACACAGGTATCTAGCAAAACAAAATGTGTATAGTTAGCCATGTAATAGTCTTCAGGCCTTTCGGAACTATCTGTAGACCCTGCCTGAAACAGAGAACCCACTTTTTATTTTTATCATACATTCTGACTTGCCCATTCTTCTCTGTCTCTCTCTTGTTCCTCCTCCCTCCCTTCATTTTTCCTCCTTTTTTGAACCCCAAATGAATAAAACCTTCCCCTGAAATGGGGTGATAAGGATTTGTTTTAAGTTTTCATGTGTGCTGAAACTCAGTCTGTTTGGTTGTTTTTTAATCATTTAACCATATCAGTTAACAAACATGGATACATATGCTATAATGTTATTGTTTTAGTTAAATAAATGGTTTAAATTGTTATAAAGGAAATTATTATTTTTCTCCTTGCAATAAAATACAGCAAAAAAGTTGTCCAAATATAAATAATAATTTCATAATTACCTGTCTTTGTATTTCTAATAGTATAACCAAATCAGTGATTTTTTTATATAACTGTAAAAACTACTTTGAAAATTAATTATTCCAAAAATGAAACCTTCATTTGGTTGTAAATATTAAGATTACACCAGCAAGAATAGGTCTTTCTGTAAAAAAAATTTATTTAAATCAAGTCTTACTAACTAGTGACTTAAATGGACACACGGCATTTCAAGAAGCACTTTTCAATGGCAAAAAAATTAAAAATTGCAATAGAGCTAGGCTGAGTGTGGGCTATGTTGCAAAAGCAAGTACTCAGACTCCACTGATTTGCAAATAAAATGTTGTGCAGCCTTACTAACCTCATTTGAACTACCCACGTTTTTAAGGAGAAACAATAACAAAAAAAAGCAATGCATAAAAACGGAACACCATCCCCACTCTACGTTTTCAAACAACCCTCTCTTTAATACCAATGTTTGGTTTGGATTTGGCGTGCTTCCCTCCCCAGTCCCCCCCAACACACAAAAAAACCCCAAAGTGATAAACTGTACTGTACTTAAACTAAAACCATCACACGCAGGCTAGGTGGGTGGAGGCAATTGATGGTCCAGCTGAGATAAGTAAACATTGCTGGAGCGAGGGTGCTGAAAGGTCAGTGCCAACATTAGCCAAACAGTGTCGGCCACTTTGGGAACTGCGGGTTACACACCGCAGGCACTTGCACGAAATCAACTGAGGCCCCTTAATCTTGGCTGAATTTGGCTGCGTCATTTGCATGAATGGGCCCTGAAAGGCTGGCTTCATAGACAAGGGGCTTCTACACAGCCACTGGATCCGTGTCACAACAAACAGAGCACAGCCCATCTTTTGCTTTGAAAATATAGTGAGACTTTGCCAAGGGTGAGGCCTCTGCTTTCCCAGCAAGGTGGGGAAAGGAAAGAGAGGGAGGGGGTGATTACCTGTTACATGTCGATCCTTTGCATTTATCCCTCATTTTGGTGTCACACTTGATCACTTGTGCTGGAAGGGGGAAGAGAAAATATAGAACCATCAGCAGGGCAAGTACTGTAACAGATATCCACATGGTCACACTTGTGTAGATGAAGCCTTCAAGCTGTTGCTAGACTACAACTCCCATCATCCATGACCATTGACTATGCTGGTGATGGGTGTTGGAGTCCAACAAGATCTGCAGGGCCACAGCTTCCCCAGCCTTGGTCTAGAAGCTTTAAGGGGAATCTCCCTTTAAAAAGCTACAGGTGACCAAAAATTCCCTTGCAGGTTTGTTTGTTTTATATATATATATATTTAAAAAGGATCTTGAAACTTAGGAGAGGGAGACAGTAATGCTCTCTTACTCATGTAAGACACAGCGGTTGGCTTTTCTTTCACAGGTTTTGTGGCTTTGGGCTTCCACACAGGTTTGCTGTCCGACACCTGGGGCGTCTCCACTTCGTTGGTCTCTTCGGTCTCGGGTTTTTGGACATAACCATCATCTTTTTTCATCCCAGCAGGTTGAAAGAAAAAGCATCTTGTTAATATTTAAGGTCAGTGGGGCAGGTGGTGGAGGCGCAGGGGATGGAGCGACTGCTCCCTTTAATTTACTTAGGGGGGTTGGCTGCATTGCCTAGAAGTTCGCTCCTGCTTGAAAGCTTAAAATGCAAAGCAAACAGAAGGGGAAAGTGGGTCGTTCTCCTCTAAAGGTCACATCCACACCACCACAGCACCTCTGTGGAGAGTACACTACAGATCCCAAGATTCTTTGGGGAAAGCCATGTGTTTTATATTTACGGTGTGGCTTTGACTGGAGTATGAAGTAACAAACAAGACCTGTACAAATATAAAAATTACTATCTGATTAGCCCAGGCATAGGGAACCTCACACCTGGGGGCAGGCATCAAATGGAGACATCTATGCCTCTCTGTCCAGCCCATGAGATATCCCCAAGGCACGTCCATTTATCTTCCAAGGCCACAATCTCTATTGGCCCCACTTTACACCCTCTGGGAGTATTTTTGCCTGGCTGGCCTGCCCTGGATCTCTGATTGTGACTCGTGCTTTCCGAGATGGGGACTACAGAAGGGTATGTGAGTTTGGTGTAGAAGCCAGCCCACTGCACATCAGTAACCCTGGCATTCATTGTGTTGCAACTGGCAAAGTTCTACTCAAAGTAGACCCACTGAAATTGATGAGCCTCAGTTGATTGTGTCCAATCATTTCAGTGGGTCTGCTCTGAGTAGGACTAACATTGATACAGCCCATCTAGTCCAGCATCCTCTTCTCACAGTGGCTCACCAGATGCCTGTGAGAAACCTGAGCGCAAGCACACTCTGCCCCTCCTCATCCATGGCTCTCAGTAACTGGAATTCAGAAGCATTACTGCCTCTGACTATGGGGTCAGAACCATACAAAGGGAGAGCGGGTGGGCCTTGAAGCTAACCCATCAACAGCAAGCAGCTGGACAGCAAACTGAGCAAGCACACAGATCCCCCTCCCTTTGGTCACAGCCTTAAGGGGAAAATACAGTTCTACGTTGGCATCTATGCATATGCATTAGCATACGCCAATTCTCTTGACATCTTGCAAACCATTTAACCACGTACCTTTGTAACAGAGATTATTCTGGCACCTTCCTCCATAGCTAGGCGGGCATTCAGAACACGGCCTGCCGTTTTTATAAGGTGCTTCTCCAATCCAGTTGCCTCTGAAAAGTGAGCACACATTTTGAAAGTTCCTTAATTCCTCCTCTCTCAAGCATCCTCTGTTCCACACTTTAACATATGCAGTTGCTTCACTGGACTGTTCCAGGCCAGTTGCCTGGATCTTTACCCTCCTGAGGCCTCTAAGCACCGTGGAGTTACGGAAGAACTGAATGTCCTTACTGTACTTACTCAATGATAGATTACTGTAAATATGGGAAAAGATTGCTCCCTTCCACAAATGTATAGCTGAGCAGCACTCTAGCGATAACTTGGCAGAGTCCAGAAGTGAAGCTGCCTTTTTATATACCTCACAACCAGCCAGTCACTGACGGGCTTTTGCCACTGGCTCCCCCTCGCTAGTTCCACAAAGCCGTTAGTCAAGGCTGCCTCCATTTCTTTCCTCACAGGACATTCAAGTGGCTGGAGGAACTTAGCATGGATGTTCAGGTCTTCCCCACTCAGGAACATGTTCCATTCCCCATCCTGGAGAGCTTCCGAAGAGTCTTCCAAGAGATCCAAAATACTAGCTGTGATGTGTGAGCCAGACAAATTGCCAGTGTCTGGGAACATCAGACTCACACAATGTTTCCTTCATGCTAACCCACTCATCCTTACTGGGCAGAAATCACTCAGCACCAAATTTGTCTTCAGGAGAGGCGAGAGGCCTACGTTTGAGCCACGCCTGTCCAGAAACACACTTCTCAAAACATTCAAAGGAGCGGAAGCTGCCATTTTGATACAAACAAGCCCGCGAGGTTCGGATTAAGGATGCCTCTGTTCCACCTCCACTGTCAGGGAATCTGTTGGTAGGAATCACAGGTGAGCAGAGTTATGTTGTGCTCATGTTTGGCTTGCAGGATTCCCATAGACATTTGACCAGCCACTGTGATGACAGGATGCTGGCCTAGGCGGGCTATTGGTCTAATCCAGCAGACTCCTCTTATATTCTTAAGTGATGGACGGCTCTGGTCGCCCTAACAGATGATCTCTGCAGGCAGCTGGATCGAGGCGGGTCGGGGCTGCTGATTCTTCTAGACCTGTCAGCAGCCTTCGACATGGTCGATCACGAACTCCTGGACCACCGCCTTGCTGACGTGGGGATCCAGGACACAGTCCTTCAATGGCTGCGCTCGTTTCTCTCTGGTCGGGGACAGAGGGTGGCGCTTGGGGGGGAATTGTCATCCCGCCACTCCTTGGTGTGTGGAGTGCCCCAGGGTGCGATACTCTCCCCAATGCTTTTTAACATCTTTATGCGCCCCCTTGCCCAGCTTGTCCGGAGTTTTGGGCTGGGCTGCCATCAGTATGCTGATGACACCCAACTCTATCTGTTGATGGATGGCCATCCTGACTCGGCCCCAGACACACTGATCAGATGCTTGGAAGCTGTGACTGGATGGTTACGTGGGAGCCGGTTGAAGTTAAATCCCTCGAAGACAGAGGTCCTCTGGCTGGGACGGGACGATATGAGATTGAGGGGGCAACTCCCATCTCTTGCGGGGGTGCAATTAGTGCCAGCACCATCCGTTAAGAGTTTGGGTGTAATCTTCAATACCTCCCTCTCCATGGAGGCGCAGATTGCAGCTATAACAAAGGCGGCATTTTTTCATCTCCGCCAAGCTAAGCAGTTGGCTCCTTACCTCTCTCGCCCTGACCTAGCCACTGTGATCCACGCGACGGTCACCTCCAGACTGGATTATTGTAACTCGCTCTACGTGGGGCTGCCCTTGAGACTGACCCAGAAACTCCAGCGGGTGCAGAATGCCGCAGCGAGACTCCTTACGGGGTCTTCGCTGCGAGATCACATTCATCCGGTGCTATACCAGCTGCACTGGCTCCCGGTGGAGTACAGGATCAGGTTTAAGGTGCTGGTTTTAACCTTCAAAGCCCTATACGGCCTAGGACCCTCGTACCTACGGGACCGCCTCTCCTGGTATGCCCCACAGAGGAACTTACGGTCTTCAAATAAAAACATCTTGAAGGTCCCAGGCCACAGAGAGGTTAGGCTGGCCTCAACTAGAGCCAGAGCTTTTTCGGTTGCGGCTCCAACCTGGTGGAACGCTCTGTCGCAAGAGACAAGGGCCCTGCAGGACTTGACATCTTTCCGCAGGGCCTGCAAGACAGAGCTGTTCCACCAGGCCTTTGGTCAGGGCGCAGCCTGACTCCCTCCTTTGGCAATCTTTACAAAACTTTAGTTTATGGTTGCCATCAATTTGTATTTTAATTAATTTTTATAATGTTTTTATAATGTTGCATTGTTTTAGTGTTGTTAGCCGCCCTGAGCCCGGCTTCGGCTGGGGAGGGCGGGATATAAATAAAATTTATTATTATTATTATTATTATGGTGGGGTCCAAAACTGATTACACTTCCTCAACCCAGCCTGGTGTTCAACATTGGTCTTTACACTATGGGGCTGTCTCCAGAGTTCTCCAGTGTTTGCAAGCATGAGGGCGGGCTCTTGCTCCAGCAGATAGGTGACTTTTAACTATTGTGCAACAGATAAATTGAATGTAACAGTTGCTCTAGCAATGGATTGTGCAATCTGTTGTGCAACAAAGTTACCAGCAATCTGATTATCTGCTTGCACAACAATGTTCTGCTGGTGCAACACATTTGGCCAGCAGATAAGTATACCACTAAGTGACTTTAACTTAGCATTACATTGGATACAATCCCCTGTCTTTTATGTCACCAGCAGTGCCAGCAGTGTCCCTAACTGACCCATTGGGCTTTGGCATTACTCATAACCAGAAAGACAGTTGGAAATAGCCTGCCCAGTTCCTGCCAACTGAGATAAAATATGCACAAAACTGCAATTACCGGTACTTCAGCTTGCATCCCTTATAGAGACAGGTGAATCAGTGCCTATCAAGTTCTCATCTTTCCAGCCCTAAGTTCAGCTCTCCACATATCCACATCTGTTTGTGGGTTTTTTGAAAACAAAGTCCTCATGAAAATTCATCACCCCCTCATAATGTACACATTTTGGCACCTAATCAATTGCATTTTTACATATTATTTTCACTAATATATGCAATCTTTACCCTCCTTTTCTGCATATTACTTGGCTGGAGAATTGCATTGCAACATTCAGAAAAGTGCAAATTTCAAAGGATCTCTGTGCTTCAGTTCATATGTTGTTTCAGAAAACCCAAATTTGTTAGATTCCCCTTTAAAGAGGAAGAGAAATGAATGTAACCCCGTTCCCAATTCCTTACTTAGGAGAGTAGTTGCAGACCAGGTAGACAGCATTCTCCCAGATTTGGCCCCACACGTCCATCCTTTTGCAGACGTTCACAGCACAGCCAACCTTATTTGTCGTTGCCCAGACCACCTGCAAATGGGCACAAGGGCACAAATGATGTCAACACTCGCCACACGAGATCAGTCCTCTAGCATTTTCACATCTGCCCACTTCTGGCAGACTTGTAACAAGAAGCAGCAAGTTCCAACAGAAGCCCCACCCTGTTTTCCTTACCTGTGTGTAGTGGGTGCACATCGGTCCTGAACATCTCTCTGGACACCAGGGATTACATTCGTGGGGATAGGGATAGGTATAATCTTTCACTTCATCATACCAAGACTGGACATGGAAAGCTGGAGAGCGATACCTAAGGAAAACAAAGATATGTTCCAGTTCTGGTGGAAGATTCGGAGCAGATAAAAGGCAGTGCCTATTCCTGCAGCAAGGGATGCGGGTGGTGCTGCGGTCTAAACCACTAAGCCTCTTGGGCTTGCCGATCAAAAGGTCGGTGGTTCGAATCCCCGCGACGAGGTGAGCTCCCGTTGCCCGGTCCCTGCTCCTGCCAACCTAGCAGTTCGAAAGCATGTCAAAGTGCAAGTAGATAAATAGGTACCGCTCCGGCGGGAAGGTAAATGGCATTTCCGTGCACTGCTCTGGTTTCGGTGTTCTGTTGTGCCAGAAGTGGCTTAGTCATGCTGGCCACATGACCCAGAAAAACTGTCTGCGGGCAAATGCCGGCTCCCTCAGCCTGTAAAGCGAGATGAGCGCCGCAACCCCAAAGTCATCCGCAACTGGACTTTACTGTCAGGGGTCCTTTACTTTTTATTCCTGCAGCACCTAGTTAAACTATGGCACTCGCTCCCACAAGAAGCAGTGGTGGCCTCCAACTTGGAAGGCTTTCAAAGAGGAGATGACAAATTTGTGGAGAAGGCAATCAATGGTTACCAGTGTGGTGTAGTGGTTAAGAGCGGTAGTCTCGTAATCTGGGGAACCGGGTTCGCGTCTCCGCTCCTCCACATGCAGCTGCTGGGTGACCTTGGGCCAGTCACACTTCTTTGGAGTCTCTCAGCCCCACTCACCTCACAGAGTGTTTGTTGTGGGGGAGGAAGGGAAAGGAGAATGTTAGCCGCTTTGAGACTCCTTCGGGTAGTGATAAAGCGGGATATCAAATCCAAACTCTTCTTCTTCTTCTCTGCCTCCACAGTCCGAGGCAGTAATGCTTCTGAATACTAGTTGCTGCATGTTGCATGAGTGCTCTTGTGCTCAGGTCCTGCTTGCTGGTTTCCCATAGGCATCTGGGTGGCAACCGTTAGAATAGGATGCTAGACCAGATGGGCCATTGGCCTGGTCCTACAGGCTCTTCTTGTGTTCTTAATTGGGCAGAGAATACCATTGCCTCTCTTGAGTATATGGCAGAGTACCTTTCTCACACAGCCAAGAATCCACAACAGAAGAAAAAACCAGCTGGATCAGACCAGGGCCAGTCTAGCCTAGCCTCCTGTTTCCCATCTTGCAAGAGATGCACCAAGAATTTCTCCACAAGGTTTTTTATATGCCACTTTGCTGGGAAAAGAAGTGGAGATGAGCCCTGGACTGACTCCAGAATGGTGGGCAGGTTGGGACTGGTGACTTTTAGCAAGTGAGCAGAATGGAATTTCCCCCCTTAAAAATGGGATTCAAAGTGAGTTGCATTATAAAGTTCTGAGCATGAAATCTCCCACGCTGTTTCTTTTTAGGAGCCCTCTCATTCTCTGGGGACATTAATGAAGAGAAAGCAAAATCTCTTCAGAAACTCAGGGACTCTCTTTTCACCAGGCTGCAGGTGTAGCAAAATAAATAACAACTTCACCATTAGGCTGTGTGGGAAGTGGAAGATATAAACCCTGAATTGAAAGTAGGGAGTGGAGCTCAGCCCACTCTCCAGTTGGCAGCCAGTTCTTCAAATTAGGAGCTGGCAAAAACATTCAGCTGCATCAACAAGCATGATTTCTTACCCTGCCCAGTGCAGTGTTAGGATGAAGCCTTCAACTGGGATTATGGAAAGTACGCTCCCGCTTAGTCCACGTTATGTGCTCACAATCAGGGAATGAACCCAAAGTGCCTAGCAGGCTACAGAGCCTAGCAGGACATGGGTTGACACTAAGGATTAAGGAGCTTAGCCATTTGGACGTCGTGTTCTGTCACCAAATATGGATTTCTGTAGGTTACAGAAGATTCTGCCCTGGCTTCTGTCTTGCTACTGACTTTCTGCTTCTTCTTGGACCATTTCCCTGCCTGCATCATATCACCAACATTCTTCCTAATGGAGAAAATTCATGCAGCACAGAGTAATTTAAAAAAAAACAAAAACCCAAACATATAGGAAATGTGTGTGCCAACAATAGCTCTGCAATCCTGGAGTATGAATGGTCCGGGCATTTAAACCAGGATACATATCAGAGACATTTAAATGCTGCTCCCTGTTGCATGGTTGAGCCACTGCCACAGACCAGGAGGGGGGCATCTAAAAGCTGCGCATTGGCAGTGGGAAACTAAACAAGTTTCCATTGATGAGTGTAGCTCAACACATGCAGAGGCTCTATTGATAGGAAGAGTGTGTGGAGAGAATACCTGTATTTAGAATAAACCTTCCTATGGCATTTCCCCCTGCCTAAAGGTAAAGGTAAAGGGACCCCTGACCATTAGGTCCAGTCGTGGCCGAATTTGGGGTTGCGGCGCTCATCTCGCTTTATTGGCCAAGGGAGCCGGCGTACAGCTTCTGGGTTATGTGGCCAGCATGACTAAGCTGCTTCTGGCGAACCAGAGCAGAACACAGAAACGCTGTTTACCTTCCTGCTGGAGGGGTACCTATTTATCTACTTGCACTTTAACGTGCTTTCGAACTGCCTACACACTTGTAAATTTGCCATATGGGCGTGGTCTAAAGGCTTCTATACTACAACCACTTAACTACGTACTAGTAAATCACATTGAATTCAATGGGGCTTGCTCATGAGTAGATATGTGTAGAACTGTGCCTTGCTTGGCTTGGTAGCCATCTTAGATTCATTCATTATCTGTCTTCATAGTTAAATTCTTATCCCACCCTTTCTCCCAAAGGAGCTCAGGGCAGCAAGCACAGACACCATAAGACAATTAACACATCTTACCTGCCCCAGTGAACAGCCAGATTTTGACCAATAGACCTAAGGAGGGTGGCAGGCCCATGATCCCAAATGCATTCATGGGCCCAGGACTCGGCCGATCTCTCCAGCTCATCGTCCCATCTCTATGTGGAAGAAAGACAGAAAGGCATTAGAGGAGGCAAAATGAAGATGGCGGCATTTTCCAACCAAGCCTCAGAATTAAACCCAAAGAAGCAAGACATTGAGTGTGTCTCAATAAGGAATGTTGCAGAGCATCCTTGCATTCCAGGAAAAGAAGAAGTGCTTATACCGTGATGTTATTTCCATATTGGGCATCCAGTCCAGTTTGTGGGAAAAGGTTGCTTTAACTGTTTAGAGGTCATGCAGGAAGACTAGCACTTGCAGCCTGAACACCAGAAAGATTGGGAAAGAACTGGAACCAGTGAAGGCTGGTCCTTTGGGGTGAATGGGGCACTGACCCACCAACCTCAGTCCACCCTCAGTTTGCATCCACCTGCCCAGCCGTCTTACTTAACAACCAGTCCAGAGGTGGTACTGCCTGTTAGCTTCCCCCTCCTCCGTCTCAGCACTGCTCCTTGTAGAACTCAGCAGGAAGGAGGGTGGGACAAAACTGGAATCAGTTGGCTCTGCCAATCACTGGCTCTGATCCTGCCCATCATTGGCTCTTTGTGAAGGTGACTTACAGAAATGCATTGCATTAAGGAGGAATTGCTGGCCAAAAAAAAAAAAATGCATCCCATAATTTCTTTTTCTTTTTTAATGGAAATAAATTGTAATTGCGGAGAAATGATGAAATAGCTATGGGCATCATGTGGTGACTACAATGGAAATTATGGGAAGGTTGGTGCCTCCCCCCCCCCAGGGGAACTGACTTTTATGATAACACGGGGATGATGAGGAAACCAGCGCACTGCTAAAGCTCCCATCATCCCTGACTGCTGGCCATGCTGGCTGGGAGTCCTACAACAACCAGAGCATCACAGGCTCCCCAATCCTGTGCTATAAGCATCATCATCATCATCATCATCATGCTTGTGCTAGAGTGCTAATTGGGACATAGCACTGAGTTCGGCTTTACTGGGACTGTTTTCTTCTTTAAAAGAAAAGAGGTGTTTCAAAGGCATATAAAATTGGCAGTGCAGCATCAAATCATTGGTTCAACATAAATGTAAACCAAGCCCATGCCAAGACAAGGTAAAAGTACCTGGCTTTCTGGCAACCCTGCGTTGTGTTTGGGTCATTTAAGTACATCCCATGCTTAGATCGTGTGACTTTTCTGAGCCAAAGCATGGTGAGGAGTTGGGGAGGGGGATTTGTTAAACTCGAGCCAAGAACACATGTTCTTGCAACGCGCTTCAAATTAGCACCAGCTCTAGTTGGAAGCATTTGCTATGGGCGTGCAGAAAATAAAATCATTTGCGATTGCTAATCCCCTCTCCGGAGGAGCTCCTGGACTGAAAAAGAAAAGCACCAAGGACTCACTGGCTTGTGTGTTGCTTGCACTGAAACACAAAGGACTTCAAAGCTCCGTTTGTATTCCAGAGGTGAACGCTGATGATTTCCAAGTCCTATTAGGTAAATATGACTCGATGAAAGGCGGATTATGAGCCAGCCCCAGGAGAGTCATTTAGAGTTGGCCTTTCTGCTTGGTCTGTGAGACTCTTTTATAGGCTTCATGGCCCCCAGGAAAAAAGGGGGGGCGGGGAACACATGAGACAAGCACACTGAGCGAAAGCAAAACATGAAGCTGTAACCATGCTGGATGAGTAAATAGACATTAGCCTGAAGTGTCTTCTGCTGCTGCTGCTGCAACACTGAGCTGCAAGGAACCCAAAAGCCAAGGAAAATACGTCTCAGCTGTGTGTTTACTTTCAGAGAAGCAGCAGGGCCATTTCTGCCCTCATAAGCATTGGAACCGCCTGCTGTCTGCCCAGCCGTAACTGAAGCTGTGATTCTAAATAGATTTGCAGCTGGAGACTGCACACGTCGGGGACACCATGTCTTTTGTGCACCTGGCCACCAAATTATGGAGAGCAAGAGATCACACCCAATTTAACATCCTGAGGATCTTAGCTTTCATTGCAAAGATTATAAGTGTGTGTGTGTGTGTGTGTGTGTGTGTGTGTGTGTAAGACTCTAGCAGAGCCATGCCAAGTGCCTGAAAGGTAATCCAGGGATGGGTAACATGTGGTCCTCCAGATGTTTTTGGACCATGTTGCCCATCAGGTTCCATGAAACACTTGAATTGCTTTTGCCACAATAAATCGTGCCCACTCGCCCATCAGCTGACATTGGCTAATGTGTGGGAAGACAGTGTATTTATTAATCCTGTATCAGCCACAGCACCTGCTTCCAGCAGGGAACAGGATCCTGCAGCCCAGACGGCAGGATTTAATCTCAGAAGTTAAAGCCCTTTGCTTTAAGTGGGGAGATGGGTGAAGTGTGGAGACTGCCTTGAAGCACTTGGCTGCAGAGATCTAGAGCTTAAAAGGGAACAGATGAGAGTCTCTTTCCCTCTCCTTTTCAGATTGAAGCACAAGGAGTTTTGACAAGTGGGCAACCCCACTCATCTCTCAAACTTAGCCCACAAAGCAGATCTTTTGGAGGATCTGAGCCATGGAGCAAAAAAAGCTTTCCCACTCCTGCACACCTGCCTTCTTTGTTGTAGTATCACAGAATTTGGCTTCCTAATTAGGGTAGTCCTTTACACATCAACACCACTCCCAAAAAGAGAATGAAGAAGGTGCCAAATTGCATAATATTGGCATACGCTAATTTATACATTTAGATGCAAACAAAATAAATCTCTCAATTCCTATTTTATTTTTCATTTTTATATGCTTTTATGTTGCTGTTTTGCTGGTTTTAGGTTGTGCTTTTGTTTTAATGATATTGTTTCTTTGTTTCACATTGTATGCCACTTATTATAAAAAGATTACCGTAAGTGGCTTATAAGTGCTTTAAAATAAATTAAATGTATTAGTTATTTAAATACATACAGGAGACTTTGCAACATAGCAAGGAAGACTGCGGCCAGTGTGCTTGCTCTTGTTGACTGCTGGCAAGGTGCTGCAAATTATTGGTGGGCAACATCAAGACCCTCCTGCTCTCCCCTCTTAAGTGATGTTTACCTTAAGCCTCCTTACTTTGCCAAACCTATATTAGGCATTACAAATATTGTTGTTGTTTAGTCGTTTAGTCGTGTCCGACTCTTCGTGACCCCATGGACCAGAGCACGCCAGGCACTCCTGTCTTATTACAAATATAGGCTATCATAAAACATCCATATATAAAATCTTAAAATATATACCTTAAACCAGGCATGGAGCAGACAGGACAATCAAACAGAGGAGTCTCCTCCTGCCAACAGAGGACACCTTCAAAGAGAGAACTGCTCTCTATAAGGTAGGGTACATGGACACTTATTCACATTCTGACTCATTAGTCTGTGGAAAACTGGACCTATGTCAAATGCATTCCAAAGCCTTAGGATTTCCACATAAATGTGTTAAGGGGTGTGTGGGTGTGGGTGTGTGTCTGTGTGTAATAGAAATTTCTTGGAAAGGATTTATAAATTCCTCTTTCACTGACAAAACCTGGATGACAAATAGTAAAGGACCTGGAAAGCTGTTGGGCTAAAAATATTTGTTTTTCTGTTTTTGCCACATCTAATTTTTAAGGTGCTATTTTTGAAGAAAATAACAGTGCTTCCTTTTATCCCCGGAAGGTGAGAAACTCACCTCTGGTTCTTATGGGGGAAACATGAGAAATGGTCTCGTGCCACCTGAATTGCCTCTGGGAGGGAGAGGAGGGTGAGTGAGGAGCAATGCTCCTTGGGTGTATATAGCCTTAGATGTGCATCAAAGGGCTTTGGCTCAGTGGTAGAGCAACTGCTTCGCATGTGGAAGGCCCCCAGTTCGATCCCCAGCGTCTCCAGGCAGGGCCGGGAAAGACTCCAGCATGAAACCCTAGACAGCGTCTGCCAGTCAGTACAGATGATACTGAACTTGATGGGCCAATGGTCTGGCCCCTATAAAGCAGCTTTCTAAGTTCTATGCATCATCACTTTCAATAATGGACATTCAAACAAGCCGGCTGAGATACATTCCATTCTTCCAGAATGTGTCATTTCTGAATCAGGGACACCCATCTTGATGGGCCCAAGACTACCCAGTGGACTTCATGGTTGAGCAGGAATTTGAACCGAGGCCTCCTTATCTGAAGTCCAGCACAACACACTGGCCCTCTGTGTTATTCAGGGACCCTCTGGGGAGGGAATTGGGCTCAACAGGTCCACATTCACAGCCCATCTAGCTTTACTTTCTCCTCCAGAATTCATTGGGAGGCATTTAGCACCAAGAGTAGACCCACCCTCCTCATCAGCATAGCTCCACCCTGAGTTTCACAGCTTGGCCAGGCGAGGCCATGACAGAGCCCTGGCAAAAGAGCCTTCTTTTTTTTCTAGCAAGAGAGGTTGAGCGAATAACCAAACTATGCAGAGGGTAGCCCTGGGTTGACCTGACCTACTAACAGTTCCTTTCCAGCTGCAATGACTCAAGAAGCTGCAATCTGAGCTGAATTTGCTTCAGGAAACCACTTGAAGGAGAAACTCCTTGTTACTGGAATTTGTTAACAGGCATATGGCCTAAATGAGCCAAAAATAGGTTAGTCTCCAGGGCCAGGCTGAAGAATGGAGATACAGTCAATACAGGGATGGCACCCAAAATGTGATGCTTCCCTCCCATCCTAAGTCAAGGAGTCCGTTATGAAGCTGGGCCATAGCCTGAGGGCCACACTCCCTTCTGAGCAACCTTCTGGGAACCACATGCTATAGATGGCCAGGACCAGAGACAAAAGTGGACAGAGCAACACATAAGAATGTTCCTTCTCTTCAGTGGGCCAGTTTCTCCACATTCACATGTCACATTCTTATCTTCCATGCTTTTTCCTTTCTTTTTTAAGAACACAGGAAAAGTCTGCATTAACATATACAAATTTTGTACGCACTTTTCTTGCCCAAAATACCCACTTTTCAATGCTTTCCAATGCATCACCTGTGACATATGTAAAATACATATTGGGGGGGGGTTGTAGTTTTTGTGCATCACACCAGCTTTGCAAAATCTGGTGAAGGGCATATTTCAGCTGCACCTGTCCCCTGCAAAAGGTGGTCCAAACAAATTCCTCCCTAACCCTCTGTTACATATTGGAAAGGTTTTTTCTGGGTCTGGTTTTAACATCTGCCTTTCTTGTTAACATTCTGCTAACAAACAGCTATTGATTGTTTCTAATTATGGAAACACTTTGGGTACCAGAAAGTGGTACAACTAGATATAGGAAAAGGAAAAGGAAACAGAAAAGGTTTCTGTTGCCATGCTCCACTTAGTTCATTTCTTCCTGTTGAGTGTGGCTTGGGAGATAAGTGATTAAAGCCCCCTCATGAGTGAATTTCCTTCTTCAGTTAAATTACTGGTGACCTTTCATTCCCCAATCTTTTATATAGCAAAATAAGGATGATTGTTAATCCCTCAGCCACACTCAACCAGAAGCAATACAAGTTTCATTTAATATCCGAAAGCCCTTTTGCTGAATAACTCTGGGTGGCTGAATACTCTGAACAGTAGTTACCTGTGAGTCTCAACATTATAAAAGAAAATTGGCCACAGAAAAGGGCAACACTAGATAATATAGCACTATATTAAATTATACATGGAGGCATCATTTTTATTTCACCTCCAGCTGCTTGTGGAAAAGCAATTCCTTAGCAGTGCTAAAGAGCAAAGTTATAGGAATCAACCATGGTGTGTTTATTCGCTCTCATTAGTGGCAGCCAGTGATGTAGAGCAAAGATGAGAAAATACACATCAACATGACAGCAGGAAGCTTTTACTACACATTACAAAGGGGATATTGATGCTTGCTTACCAGTTTGGGTGGCTGTCACCCAAGCAGGCAAGCCTATATCAAGTCTCCCTTGTAATGTGTAATAAAACCTTCCTGTGCCCTGCTTCCATGTAATTGTGTATTACCGTATCTTTGGTCATCCTAATGTAACGACTGGGATCTTGAAGTCTGTGTATCACCAAAGCTGCAGCTAAGGAAAATACATGGTCTTTACTTACAAGCTGTACAAGAAGACGGCTTCTGTTTGTGGTGCATATTTCCTAAAAATTAATGTCCAGAACTTGGGGAAGTAAGCACAAATGGCACACAAAGGAGCAGGAGTGGAAGGGAAATTCTGAGGCAGAGCTAAGCCTCACTTATCATTTTGAACTCACCATGTATTCCATGTTGGATGCTGAAGGGTAGACTTGACCTCTCAGTTTATTGTGAAGCATTAGAATCTCTTCTTTGTCCGATCGAGAAATGGCTCTCTTGGTCCTTGAGTGGGGCTCCTCCTCCTGGTATTTACTGAGGATGCTTTCCAACTCGGTAGCATTGGGCAAGAAAAAGCAATGGATTCCATGGACTAGGAAGAGTAGCCCAAATGGTACGACAGTCCAAGTCAGAGTGGGACTTCTGGCCATTTTCTGCTCAGTGGAATTGGGATGAGAGAAGAAACACTCCACAAAGGGATCTCTTCTGGTCTGTGCAACAGATCTAGAAAGTGAAGAGGGAAAGTGAAGATAGTTTAGTTATTCTCAGCCTGACACTGGGCAAGCTCTTGGGCTTCTAGGCTTCTCTGTCTGGCCTTCATGACACTACCCAAGCCACACCTTCTTCCTAGCCACACCCCTCACCATCCCTATTTCACACACACTTTTATGTTTCTGGCTGGCTGAAACATGCCCTTGAACTCTGATGTTTCTTGCTCGCTTGGATGGAGGATGTGAGAGTGTGAAGAAATTAGGACTACTGTCCTGGAGAAAAGGTAAAATTCACATCCACTGCTCTATCCACTTTTGGCTCTGACCCTGCCCACCCACCATTGGCATGTCTCCCTCAGAAGGGAATGTGGCTTGAAAAAGTTTCCTTACCCTAATGAATAATTAGTCATAATGAAGGAAAAATGTAACAGATAAAAGTATGTTATATAATGCAGTGGGAAAGGGTGGAGATGGAAACATCAAGGAGGAAGGGTGGGAAAGCAAGTTATAAAACTTATTTTAAATTTGTATTAAATTAGAAGTTAAATTGTTAACATCTTTGGAACTCAATAAAAAATAATTGGAAAAAAGAAAAGAAAAAGCTTCTCTACCCTAACTTATAGGGACGCGGGTGGCGCTGTGGGTTAAAGCCTCAGCGCCTAGGACTTGCCGATCGAAAGGTCGCGGTTCGAATCCCCGCGGTGGGGTGCGCTCCCGTTGCTCGGTCCCAGCGCCTGCCAACCTAGCAGTTCGAAAGGACCCTCGGGTGCAAGTAGATAAATAGGGACCGCTTACTAGAGGGAAGGTAAACGGCGTTCCGTGTGCTGCGCTGGCTCACCAGATGCAGCTTGTCACGCTGGCCACGTGACCCGGAAGTGTCTCTGGACAGCGCTGGCCCCCGGCCTATAGAGTGAGATGAGCGCACAACCCTAGAGTCTGTCAAGACTGGCCCGTACGGGCAGGGGTACCTTTACCTTTACTTTACCCTAACTTATAAAATGGGGTTCTTCAAGCTGTCATGTTTTTCTCCATTAAATGAAACAGAAAGCTTCCATTCTTCTGTTGTTGTTGTTGTTGTTGTTGTTGTTGTTGTTGTTGTTGTTGTTGCAATAAGATTTAGCTGCCCATTCTGACATTAGCTGCATGGAATGGGGGCCTCAGCAGAGCAGGTCATTCATGTTTTGGGGGGTAATGGCAGAATTCCCATTCAACATGAGAGGAATCCATTACTTGGTTCATTCCCACATCAGTGCCTCTCCTCTCAGACAGGGCTGACCCAAGACATTTTGATGTCTGAGATGAAAGAGTAGATGGCACCTTCCCATGACATATTCAGGAGCCAACTGTGCTAGCAACTGGCTCTAACTTCCCGACTGATGACAGCATCCCTTGCTATAATTGAGGGCAGCAAGCTACTTTAGGTGAAAGACAGGCTGCATGGTGCACAAACTCTGTCCTCTGAGATTTTACTACCCCTTGTACCAAGCATCTGCTACCAGAGGTGGATGCTTCACTCTGCCTAACAGTAGGGCCAGCATTCTCCTAAACCAGCGGTTCTCAACCAGATGTTCTCAACCTGTGGGTCCACAGATGTTGTTGGACTACAACTCCCATCATCCCTGAGCTCTGGCCTTGCTAGCTAGGGGTGATGGGAGTTGTAGTTCAACAACATCTGGGGGCCCACAGGTTGAGAAAGGCTGTCCTAGACATTGGTAGTATTGTCTACACTGACTGGGAGTGAGTCTTGGGGTTTCAGATAGGGATCACTCCCAGTCCTACCTGGAGATGCCAGGGATTGAACCTGGAACCTTCTGCATGTAAAGTAGATGCCCTTACAATCTATACCCTGTATAAGCTCTTCAATAGCCCCAATCCCTGTTGATTTCCAGGCCAGCCCAGACAGGAGAAGTGGTCCTGCCAAGTATTATCATGGAAGCAGAATCCCATCTTAATGGAAAAGGATAGCAGACATTCCCAAAGAGCCAGGTTGAAGAGGTCAGCCATGAGCTATGAGCTGTTTCTGCCTGGCAGAAAAACAGACGCAGAACCCTCTGCCAGCTCCCAAAATCTGTCACCAGCAATATCAGAGCAAATGAAAGATCCATTTTGCAAAGGAAGCACCAGGATTTTCTCTAATTTACTCTATTACTTATATGTCACTTTGCTGGGGAAAAGACAAGGGTGCTGGACTGGCTCTAGAATGGTATCAGTGAGGTCTGGGGATGGAGTTGGGCAAAAAAGATATTTAGCTGCAACGATGTAAGATGAGCCCTGATGGATCTGAGATGTTGAACAATTTTAATAGTGACTTAAGAGAGCACAGGAAACATAGGCATCTGCCTTAGTTTTGAACCTGGAACAGTCTGCATGCAAAGCAACTTCTCTACCACTGAACTGCAGCCAACACTGCATACAAAGACCTTGTGACATTCCTTCTTCAGGCAGCTGGAATGGAAAGAGCTGGCCGTTGGAAAGCAAGCCAGATGCCTACACTAAGGGCTCATCCAGACTTCCTTTTGGGCCATGTTTCTCGGCACCAGTCCGGGCTTTAATGCTCCGTGTCTGAGTGGTTTTTCTTTTCTTTCTTTCTTTTTGTCCCAGTGAATTCCCCAGAAAACCTGTGCTTTACTGCTGAATCAGAGCAATCAGGTTTTCTGTGGATTGCCGTTTGCTCTGATTCAGTGATAAAATGTGGGTTTCCCCAGGGAAAGTGCCAGGACACAAAAGGATGTTTGGATGTGCCCTAAGTCAGTGGTAACATTGATGGAGAATGGCTTTGATGCAACAAGTACACGTGTCCAGTGGTCTCGCACAGTCAGATTCCCTCATAGTGAGATGCTACCCATACATTTCACACATGAACAAACACTTTTCAGCTAAGCTTTTTTACCCAAAGCCATAAAGCCATCTTGCACAGATGTACTTTCCCTGCTAAAATTTCCAACTTTCCAGGCTCCTGATAAAATATTTTCATTGCCACGCCTGATGTTTAAGCACGCATGTTTATTCGGCTATGCTTTGATTACATGGTTCTTTTTGTTTGTTTATGCACTGTGTTCTTATAACACACTATATGATATATTGTGAAATATATCATCATATACATATATCATATAATCATATATGTACATATAATCATATATAATAACTGAAGTTGGGACGAATGGAACTGTCAATTTCAGTTTCTCTTTGTTTCTCACTCTTCCGGTCTTAAATTCAGTTCACATTTCCACAGCAATCTGCATTTTTAAAAGCCGACAACCTAGGGGCTGCCACTTCTGCTTGCTCTGCCTGCCAACCCCAAAAACCTGTTTGCCCTCCCTCTGCACCTGACCAACCCTCCCTTTACAACCTCACTTACCCCCTCACCTCTCCCCACACAGCTCACCCCAAACCCCACCCCCATTTAAAGAAGATTGGAGGCACTCCAGACAGTTACTTGCTAAGCCACTGTGTCAAGCACCTCCTTCCCTTCATTAAGCTTGTTTCAGAGTGGGGGGAGCAGTTCCCAGCCTCTCCTTGACCACATGAACTGCAAAGTGTGACTTTTGTGTATATAAGGAGAAAAAGCATCATGGAAATTTGTCAGCACCGTAGTGTGATTCTCCCCCTCCCCTCGCCCCATATGTTTGTATGCATTTCCCCCCAAAGGGAAGCATTTTTGCCTCTGTTTTTCACAAACCTATGCATTTTACATGCATTTTCCCCAAATATATGCATTTTCGTACACATTGTCTGGTGGGAGAACCATGTCGCAAAACTCACAGAAGTGCAACATTCCAAGTATAGTGCTTGTCATAAAAATTCAAAGAAAAGCAAATTCCTCTCTGTCCCTAAACTGAAGACAGCCTTGTAAAACACATTAAACATTAAAATCCAAGCATCTGGAGGCTGACACTTCTGTATAGTTGAGGGAAACTTTAGCAAGAAACATTTCTTTTTAGGCAATTCTAGCTGAAGAAAGAGAGGGAGGGAGGGAGGGAGAGGGAGACTGAGATTTTTTTTCCCCCTGCAGAGGAAATCTCTTTGAAACAAACTCCCTTTAGAGGGGCCCCTGCCTTCTAAGCTCTGTGCATCTAAAGCATCTTCTCCACCATTCATTCTCTCCCCATCCAACAGTCACTGATAAACCTAAGGCAGCCACCCCCTCTCCTTTCTCAAACTATGTGCCTGTTAGCTTCCTGGCTGATGAGTTCACCTTTTTTTCAGGGCAAATATTGCCTTAACCTCATTCTCTTTCCAGCATTATTTGGTCCTGTCCTCGTCGCCCAACTGACACACACCCCCTCCTGCAAAACCCCACTCAAGCAAGAGGCTGGCTTGGTGTGGCTAACCTCAAGCTGTTACTTTTGTAGACAGTCTGACCCACTTCAGGGGAACAATTCCTACTTTCAGAGGCTTCTCTGAGGGGTTATAAATAGATGCTCTTCTGTAAAGCGTCCACAATGTGGCCTTTTAGCCTGGCCCATCGCTCAAGGCGGACAGCTTTTTAGGTAGGGAAGCAGACGGTTACCATAAGCCGCGTCGTCCCGTCCCCCCCCCCCCCCGCTGCCCCATCAGACCTCGCAGGCCGTCTTTCCCAAACAGGGCCAGGCCTTTGCTCGCTTGCTCTCTCTGCAGTAAAGTTACAGAGGAAGCAATGTGCCAATCTGATGTAATGTTTGTTGGCGCTCTCTCTCTCTCTCTCTCTCACACACACACACACACACGCAAGAGGCAGCAAACTAGCTGCTTTATGTAGGCACACTGAGGATGGAGAGCCTGCAGGATTGGACACCTCAGCCAATTTTCTTTAAATCCTTCCAGCAGCTAGACCTTACCATGTTAACAGGCAGGTTATTGTCCTTGCAATCATCCACACCATACATTTGAAGCACATTTAAAACCACTTTAAACAATCATGGCTTCCCCCACCCATCAAAAAATTATATGTTTATTAAGGGTGCTGAGAGCTGTTAGGAGACTCCTATTCCCATCCCAGAGCTGCAGTTTCCAGATTAACAATCAATCTTT